ACCTGCCCCAAGCACGCGGCGACCGCTCCCCGCAGTCAGCTTCCCCCGCCCTGCCCGCGCCGCCAGGCACCGGCGTCGGGGCGCACATAGTGGACCGCGCCATGCAGATGGGGCAGGATCTCACCGATGGCATCCCCAATTCGCTGGGGAAAAGAAGGGGAGGGGAGGCCTTCTCCTCTCCTTTTCCCTCCTCCCTCACCGTCCCCATCCCCCCTCTTCCACAGCCTCCTCCCTCCCCCTCCCTTTCCACAGCCTCCTCCTCTTCCTCCTCCAAATCCTAATCACTCATCTGCTTCCTCTCCTTCTCGTCCTCCTCCTAATCCACCTCCTCCTTTTGCTCATCGCGTTCATCGTCATCGTCGCCACCACCACCACCGCTACCACTAGCACTATCATCATCATCACCATCATCATCAGCAGCATCATCGTCATAGTCATCATCATCATCTGCATCATCATCGTCATTCTCATCATCACTATCACCACCATTATTATCATCATCGCCACCATCATCATGATACATTCCATGCTTATCACCATCACCGCTATGACCAACACCATTATCACCACCACCATAATCAACATCAGCATCCGCATCATTATCCTAGCGATGTTCATCGTAATCGTCATCATCATCAACATCATCATCATATCATCATTTTCATCAACATTCTTAAGCTCAGTATCGATGTTGTTTTTATTCATCATCGTCACCGTTATCACCATTATCGTACTCATAATGTTGTTCATACTCAGCATTGCCATCATAAGCATAATCACCATCATCGTCTCCACCATCATCATCAACAGTAACATCACCATCACCATCATCATACTCCATAGCGTTATTGTCATCATCATTACCATCAGCATCATCATTATGATATTACCATCGTCATCATCATCATCGTCGTCGTCGTCGTCATCATCATCATCATCCTCATCATCATCATCATCGTCATCATCGTCGTAGTTCTTTCTTCTTCTCCCCGGGTGCTCCCCGTCGTTTCCTCCTTCATCCTCCTCGCCCTTTTCTCCCCCTGGCGGAGGGAAAAAGGTTCGAGGCTCGACGAGCACGTTTCTTCTTCGTTCTCCAGGTGTCCTGCGCACGGGGCTTGTGTTATTTCATCGCTTCGTTCGTTCCTCTGGCCCACGTGATGTTGCTGCTGGCATCTGGGTCTGGTGGGAACTGCCTTGGCGAGACGCCACGAGGGGCCACACAAATGCACGCGGAACGGAACGCTGATTGCTATGAAGGCTTGGGACAAATACGTACATCGGCGGCGCGCCCATGGGAGAAGGCAGTTTTCCAGCCTCGGCATGCGTTCCAGCGGCTGCGCCTCGCCGAGAGGCGTCTAGGGGTGTCCCGATCGTCCCGAATGGCCGCTTGAGACCCGAGGGAGCTGGCCTTCTCAGAAGGCGGCGGGCTTCTCAGAAGTCCTCGCGCCTTCCGAGAAGCGTCGGTAGCTTTGGAGGAGGCTTGGGAGGCTTCACAGACGGGGTGAGGGCTTCTGAGAAAAGCCCCGCCGCCTTCTGAGAAGGCCTGCCCCCTCTGCATTCTCCCAACGCCGTGCGCGCCGCCGAGTATAGGCAAGGAGAGCTTCTGGTGACTCACAGAAGTCTTTGAGTCTCTGGGGCGACCGTTGGGCGCATTGCGGGTGTCTCTGGGCCTCTGCGTGCTCGCAGGGGCATAGTGGGTGTTGTGGCGGGTCATCTGGAGCCACGTTGGGTTTTCGCTCCATCTTGTGTTGTGATACCTGATGTTTTTGCGTTTAGGCGTGTCTCTGTCTTGCTTGGCGCGTTGTCGGAGCGCTGTTGAGACTCTTTCTCTTCCAGCTCTTCTTGGCTCCGCTTGGAGTTACCTTGTGCAATGTTGGAGCCTTCTTGAGGCCACAGGAGCCTACATGAAACGACAAAGATCCCAAATCAATAAAATAGCTTAGTGGTATTAAGGATGTCAGCCTCCTGGGAGCCGTTTGGGGTGCAGTCGTGGACCATCCTTGGCCACCTTTGGGCTATCTTGGGGCCTTTGGAGTTTGTTTTGGGGGCATGTCACGGCCTGCCACCTACGGATCCTCAGTCTTGTGCCGTTCCGGGGCACTATGGACGCTCCATTGGGCCTCTGCAGGGGCGTTCTTGTGCGTCTTTGGAGCCCGCTTGGTCTTCGAGCCCTTCCCGCCCTAACTTGGAACCATTTTGGGTGATGAAGGAGTCATCTTGCTGAGAAATCCGAAATTAGTGGACAGATTGCATGTTTCAAAGGATTTTGGCATGCTGGAGGCCTATCGGGGGCTTCACTCACCTCGGGGCTGTCTAGGGGCATGGTGGGGCTGCCTTGGGGCCATCTTTGGGCCTGCCACCAACCGATTCCGCTCCTGGGCCGCTATTGGACTTTGTTGGAGTTATCTTGACCCTGTCTCTAGGCGCCCTCGGTACTCGTCGGAGCCCTCTTGGAGGCCTTCCAGCCCCCACTTGGGGCCATCTTGGGCGATGCCGGAGCCATCTTGAGGCCTGAGGAGCCTACAGGAAGCAACAAGGCGAGCACGCCGACATCGCTGAAAAGCCGTAGGCTTTCGAAGGAATGGGGTCTGCTGTGGGCTTCTTGGGGGCTGTCTTGGACTGACCTGGGCTGACTTGGGGCCGGTTGGGGTTGCCTTTCGGAGTGCTGAGGGCCGCGCCCAGGAGAAAACACATCTGACCCGAGTCTCCCAGGACCTTCTTTGGACCCGCGACCCGTCCGCGACCCACCCGCAACCGACCCACATTGCTTTGACGGGAAGTCAGCGCCTGCGACGGGCTCGTTGTGCACTGTGCAAGAAATCAGCGCCAGCGGCGGGCTTCTTCAGAGCCTCACAGACCGCAGACGATCCCGCCGCCCCCTCTCAGACCACAGCCCGCCGCAACTGTGGGGGCTATGATACAGGCAGTGTATGGGATATGCTATAGACATTCTGATCATCCCTCCTCCATCTCCTCCTCCCGCCTTCCCGTTTCCCTCTCCCCTGGCACATTGGCATTTCGACTCACTCATACTCAGACCCACGCGCGCACACACGCAAACCCACACACAAGCGCGCGCACACGTGCTCTCACACTCATACTTTCTCGGAGACAATCTCGCTTATACTTTGACGCACTCGCACTCAGTCTCACTCGTACTCAGCCGCACTCAGGCTCAGACTTGGACATTCTGGGACTCACTCATCCTCAGGCTCACTCACACACAGACTCGCTCGCACTCATGTTACGCTCAGATCACTTTATTTCAGGCATCACACTTGCATCCGATCATACTCATACTCGCTCAAACGCAGACCCACAATCAGACTTTCAACCTGCTCAGACCCACTCAGACACGGCATATCCCATGCTCATCATCGTCGCGATGCAGGAGGCATTGAACTTGCGTGTCCCAAGCGGGGCCTCGATCAGTAGTGGTCCGCGGGCCCGCCACGGTCAAACTCTCCTACGCAGATCCGCTCAGGCACTGCATACCCCGTGCTCACGATCCCTCGATCCTCCGAGAACCCATTCTCGACCTCGAACCATCCTCTATCCGTCCATCTCGATCCACGATCGATCGTCGATTCCTCGATCATTGATCCTCGCTCGATCCTCGATCGATCCTCGATCCTCGATCGATCCTCGATTCTCGATCGATCCTCGATTCTCGATCGATATCTCGATCTTCGATCCATCAATCCATCGATCCTCGATCGATCCTTGCTCCCTCGATCCTCGATCCTCGATCTATCTATCCTCGATCCTCGATCGATCCTCGGGTGCTCCTCTTCTCAGCTCAGACCCTCCTACGGTAGGCTCTCGTTGTGTCGACCGACGGCGACCTCGCCGCCGGCGTTCAACGTGGAACGTCGGCAGCGGCCAAGAATCGGTCGATGCTGAACGATCTCACGTTTGGGAAATTGCCGATCTTTCAAGGTTGAACGATCCTCGCGGTGTCAGGAACCAACGCCGGGGTCGGCACGACGCTCTGCCGTTCTCCGGTCTGCCGTTCTCCGGTTCGGTAGCAGATCATGGGAGGCTTGTACACACTCGCAATCCCGTCAATTGCGTCTGGCAATCGGTAAGTTAGCGTCGATTTTGCGTCGACTAGCGTTGATTAGCGCCGATTCGACCCAAGCGTTGGTCGACACTCAGACACGGCACATCCCGTGCTCGTCGCATGAACCGAAGATGCACGGGGAATGGACATCCGAGCGGTGAGGGTGAGGGGGCGAGGGGGGGGTGGAGAAGAGGGAGGAGGCGGAGGAGGAGGAGGAGGAGGAGCCTCAAACCGTTCTGGTACCACCTCCGTCTCCAGCAGTTCCCAAAGCCAGAGCCAAAAGGAGGACGATCAAAAGCCTTTCAGTAACCTCCACGTTCTCTCCAACAGAAGCTACAGTACACGACGGAGTTCACCAACTTCAACGGCCAGAACAGCAGTCGCAAGATGGGCAGCATCCGCAGTTCGACAAGTAGATGCAGGACCTTGACTGACCATTTCTTCGGGGTCCCCAGAGACAGCTCAGAGGCCGTTATCTCGACGCCTACACCGACACCGACCGCGAGCTGTGCGGGGGAGGTGAATGAGGGTGAATGCAAGACTGAATTCATTTGTGGTGGAGCGGCGAGCTCTAGGCAGGCCCCTGGCGTATCTGGGCCACCCCAGAGTTCGCTCCCGCCACGCCCGCTGATCCTGTCGTGAACTCCAGTGCCCTTCGTTCTCGAGGCACGGGAGTTGGCCCCGACCGTGCCCAACACGGGCCGACGAGCGGCGGTGGAGACTGATGGCTGTGAAAACCACGGGTCCGCCATGTCAGGCAAGGGCTTCGGTGCCTGTCCTGGGGTGGCGGCCCTAGTGGCGTGCCTAACCTAACCTAGTCCTCATCCTCCTCCTCCTCCTCTTCCTCTTCCCTCTCCAAGTCATTCAATGTTGCCGGCTGTCATATCATGAATCAGAGGGCCTTTTGGTAGGCGAGGAGCAGCCGAGCACCCTCCCTTCATGAGTTGCCCTTGTTGCTCATATGCCTGTTGGACACGGCGTATTCTTCTTCTCAGTAGGGAGGTGTGGGCTGGAGGCTGGAGGGGCTGGATGAGGGGAACATGATACAGCTATCCCCTACTTACTACCACCACCCCTGACATCCGCCGGGTGGAGAAGGAGGAGGAGGAGGAGGAGGAGGAGGGGGGGGAGGAGGCGGAGGAGGGAGTGAGGAGGAGGAGGAGGAGGAGGAGGAGGAGGAGGAAGGATGAGGAGGAGGAGGAGAAGGTGTGGAGTAGTAGGAGGAGGAGGAGGAGGAGGAGGAGGAGGAGGAGGAGGAGGAGGAGGAGGAGGCTGTCCAGGGTGGAGGAGGGATGGGGGAGCATAACGATCGCCATCGACCCACCCGCGACCCACCCCGTGACCCACCCCGCGACCCACCCGCGACCCAGCCCGTGCCTGTCTTCTCATTCCTATCCGCAGTTGCGGGGTGTATAATATTTGATCGCTTCGCTCATTCCGCCGGCCCGTATTGGTGCACGGCTGTCGAGTGCCCGTGTGATCGTTGTCAATGGGGCGTTTCTGGGTCGTTGTTTTGTTTATGGATGGCTGGCTTTGGGTGATTTCGCAGGCAGGAACCATTCTTTGCCCGCCTGAACCTTCTGTTTCGGAAGGTGGCGGCTCGTGAATACGATCGCAGGGAACAAGACAACATTCTGCAGTTTCCTTTTCTTCTCTACTTCATCCCTCCGCTGCTATGTGTCGTCGTGTTTGAGGGGGGGCGGGGTTTTGGGGGTAGCAGGGTAGAAGCGCGAGCGTGGAAAAGGCGAGTGGCAGAGGATGAGGAGGAGGAGGAAGAGAGGGGAGAGGAGGAGGAGGTGGAGGAGGCGGGGGAGGAGGAGGCGGAGGAGGAGGAGGGGGACGTTCATTGGGATCTCGTGGGATGCCTCTCGAGAGCTTCTTGGAGACTCGGGAGTCGTTGTCGAGCCTCTTGGGGTCTCTTTCGGGCCCCTTGTCGCCTTTTGGGGCCTCTTGGGGGCCTCTTGGAGCCTCCAGGAGGCCTCTTCGAGCGGAAGGCTCGGATTCTCGGTTCGCGGTCTCCATGTTGGGCCCCTCTCAGGCCCTTCTTGGGGTCCTCTTGGACCGTCTTGGGCGCCTCTAGGGCTGTCGTGGGGCCCTCTTGGGCGGTCTCGGGGCTCTCTTGGAGGTTTCTTGGGCCGTCTTGGGGTGGTCCTGGAGGCTTTTTGTTTCCATCTTGGGCCCCTCTTGGGGCCCTCTTGGGGTCCTCTTGGACCGTCTTGGGCGCCTCTAGGGCTGTCGTGGGGCCCTCTTGGGCGGTCTCGGGGCTCTCTTGGAGGCCTCTTGTGCCGTCTTGGGGTGGTCTTGGAGTCTTGGAGGCTTCTTGGGCCGTCTTGGAGCGTCGGAAAGGCGAAAAGGCGAGGAGGCAAACGACCTTGCAAAACCCAAAGGAAATCAATGGTTTTGGCGCTCTGAGGCTTCGTGGACGTTCATTGGGATCTCGTTGGATGCCCCTCGAGGGTGTTCTTGGAGACTCTCGGGAGTCGTTTTCGAGCCTCTTGGGGTCTCTTTCGGGCCCCTTGTCGCTTGTTGGGGACTCTTAGGAGCCTCTTGGGGCGTCCATGAGGCTTCTTGGAGCGGAAGGCTCGGATTTTCTGTTCGTGGTCTCCATCTTGGGCCTCTCTTGTGGCCCTCTTGGGGTCCTTTTGGACCGTCTTGGGCGCCCCTTGGGCTGTCGTGGGGCTCTCTTGGACGGTCGTGGGCCTCCCTTGGAGGCCTCTTGGGCCGTCTTGGGGCGGTCTTGGAAGCTTCTTGGGCCGTCTTGGAGCGTCGGAAAGGCGAAAAGGCGAGGAAGCCAAAAACCTTGAACAACCCAATGGAAATCAATGGTTTAAGCGCTCTGAGGCTTCGTGGACGTTCATTGGGATCTCGTTGGATGCCTCTCGAGGGCTTCTTGGAGACTCTCGGGAGTCGTTGTCGAGCTTCATGGGGTCTCTTTCGGGCCCCTTGTCGCCTTTTGGGGCCTCTTGGGGGCCTCTTGGAGCCTCCAGGAGGCCTCTTGGAGCGGAAGGCTCGGATTCTCGGTTCGTGGTCTCCATGTTGGGCCCCTCTTGGGGCCCTCTTGGGGTCCTCTTGGATCGTCTTGGGCGCCTCTTGGGCTGTCGTGGGGCCCTCTTGGGCGGTCTTGGGGCTCTCTTGGAGGCCTCTTGGGCCGTCTTGGGGTAGTCTTGGAGGCTTCTTGGGCCGTCTTGGAGCGTCGGAAAGGCGAAAAGGCGAGGAAGCGAAAAACCTTGAACAACCCAATGGAAATCAATGATTTTGGCCTCTTGGGGCTCTCTTGGAGAGGGTCGGGGCTCTCTTGGGACGTCTTGGAAGCTTCTTGGGCCGTCTTGAGGCCGTGTTGGGTGTCTTGGGCCGATCGTTCGGTGATTCGGAACCCTCTTGGACCGTCTCGGATTCTTGTTGGGGCCCTCTTGGAGCGCTCTGGGGAGCGTGGAAGGCCGCACCCAGGAGGAAAACCATCTCTGAACTGAGTTTGCCAGGAGTGTCCCAGGACCTTGCCGTGTTTTTTTTCGCCCGGGGCCCCCCAGGGGCCGCCCCGCGCGCGCGAATTAGAAATATTGTTAAGTGGTTACCGGAGATCTTAGCACGCCTCTGGCCCGTTGGGCCGGCGAATTATCCTCCACGACTGCCGCCGCCATCGACCTTGACCTGACAGGAGGAGGAGGAGGAGGAGGAAGAGGAAGGTGGAGGAGGAGGCTGCCGGGGGTGGATGGAGGAGGAAGGGGGAGAGGGGGGTGCATATTGTATGGTCATCCTCCGCCGCCATCGCCATCGATCCCGGCCTGCCAGGACCTCCCAGGGCTGCGGGACCGCGTCGATTCTTCCGACTGCGCCCAGCGCGCCGCGCCCCGCCGCGCCGCCGCGCCATCGCCGCGGCCCCGGCGGCCGCGCTGGCGGCCGCGTCGGGTCGGAGGCCTCGGCGGCCTCGTCGGCGGCCGCGTCGGCGGCCGCCTCGAGCGTCGGGCGGCCTGGGGGAGGCGAGGCGAGCTCGGAGGAGGTGCGGCCGGGCGCTGCGCGCAGCCGCCCCATTCGCCGCTCCCCCGCCCCCGTCGCCCCTTCCCCGCCCCCACTTCTACCGCCCACCTCGCCCCGCCCCCGCGTTGCTCCACCTCCCACTTCCGCCCACGCCCACGCCCCCACCTCGCCCCCCTCGCCCCGTCCCCACCATCCACTCCCCACCCCCCACCCCCACCCCCGCCCCCCCAGCACCGAGAAAAAATCGTTCCCCCGTGGAAGAGTTCGTTCCCTGGTTGAAAGGTTCGTTCCCCGGTGAAGATTTCCATTACGCTACCGAGGAACCCCACATACTGATTCTATGTCTTGTGTGAACCGCGCTACCACTACCACCGCCGTCATGCTCTCAGGTGCCCCCTGTGGTCGTTGAAAGGAGGGGGAGGACGTGTGGGGGGAGACCAGGGGTTGAGGAGTCATCTGTGACGGTCATATCCGGCGTCGCCTGGCACTTGGATACGACAGGTAATACGCAATCCCGCACTAGAGGCTATGCCTGGACGACCCTGGCACGCATAGGGAGACCACCCCCTGCGCACCCCCTCTGGTGTCGAGAAAATGCCACGCCTGCTATGCCTGGACGACCCTGGTACGCATAGGGAGACCACCCCCTGCGCACCCCCTCTGGTGTCAAAAAAATGCCACGCCTGCTATGCCTGGACGACCCTGGCACGCATAGGGAGACCACCCCCTGCGCACCCCCTCTGGTGTCGAGAAAATGCCACGCCTGCTATGCCTGGACGACCCTGGCACGCATAGGGAGACCACCCCCTGCGCACCCCCTCTGGTGTCGAGAAAGTGCCACGCCTGCTATGCCTGGACGACCAGGGCACGCATAGGGAGACCACCCCCTGCGCACCCCCTCTGGTGTCGAGAAACTGTCACGCCTGCTATGCCTGGACGACCCTGGCACGCATAGGGAGACCACCCCCTGCGCACCCCCTCTGGTGTCGAGAAAATGCCGCGCCTGCTATGCCTGGACGACCCTGGCACGCATAGGGAGACCACCCCCTGCGCACCCCCTCTGGTGTCGAGAAAATGCCACGCCTGCTATGCCTGGACGACCCTGGCACGCATAGGGAGACCACCCCCTGCGCACCCCCTCTGGTGTCGAGAAAATGCCACGCCTGCAATGCCTGGACGACCCTGGCACGCATAGGGAGACCACCCCCTGCGCACCCCCTCTGGTGTCGAGAAAATGCCACGCCTGAGCTGGACGACCCTGGCACGCATGTGCGCACTCAGTGCTGTGCTGAGCTGAGCTGAGTGAGGTGTGAAGTGAGACGCGGGTGCGCCGCGGCAGGGAAGAAAACCAGAACCCCACAAAACATGTGGGGAAAAACACCCTTGGGAAAATAAACGAAATGCACGCGAGCGCGTCTTTGCGCGCGCATTTCGACATTACTCAAAAATCCAAGGCGCCGCAAGGATTTCCACATCGAGTGCCCCGAAAAAAATGTTCAAACAAATCATACAAAACAAACAGACACACAGAGAGAGGACCTGCGCCCGCGCCCCAGCGAATTCTGAAGAAGGCCGCTGGTTTTTCAACTGTTCCATCTAATGAGACCAGACTGGCCTCTCGCGCGCGCATGTCGAAATCGTTAAAACGCCCTGGCGCGCATGCCGGGGGGGATACGATCCAAAGAGCTCCACGCGGGCCACTCAGCCCCGGCCACGTCGAAATCCTTAGCACAACCTTCATCACCGACGCGGGGATACCATCATCGGCATCGGCGTGATCATCATCGGCACCGTCATTGGCCTTGCCGTCGTCACTGTCATCATCGCCAACAGCATCGTTACTATCATCATCGCGTCTGCCGTTTTCGACGTCGCCATGATACCGCACCCGCCCGGGTCACCGATTCGCACCGGAGTGCCCGCGCGTCTGCGCGGCCTGCGAGACGTGCTGAAAAGTCCCCAGAAGTCAGCGCCACAGCGGCCGCGTCGGTCGCGACAAACTAGCTGAACACTGTGCGCGCGAGCCTGCGCGCTAGCGCCGCGCTAGCGCAGCCACGGCGATGCACCAGCCAGCGCCGACAGATCATCGCAGTCGCCGCCGCATGGGTTTTGCCAACCAAGTTACGGGTGGGTGAATAGGGTGATTGCGCGAGCAGTGAAAGAGACAACTTCAAGTTCGGCAAGGCGAATTGCACCACATAGACTGCACCACATATATCGCGCCACAAATATTGTACACAAGGTAGACTGCACTATATATATATGTATATATATATGTGTGTCTGTATGTATATAAAACATATATATACATATATGTATATACATGTATATATAATATGTAAATAATATGGTATACCACAATTTGATATAAAAAATAACACTACATAAGATGATATATATATATATGATATAATATGATAAAATATATTATAATATGATCTAAAAAAATATAGTGTAATAAATTATAACATCATATAATTATATATACATATATATATATATATGTGTATATATATACATAAATTAACATGATACAACATAACATAATATGGTGTACTATAATATAGTATAATATGTTATAATATCATATACTATAATATGGTATTATATACAATAAAATTATATAATATTATATGAAATACGAAAATACAGTCTACTATAATACGATATGTTCTGGTATGATGTAATACAAAAAATGATAAATTATCATATAATATAATATAATACAATGCCATATAATATGGTATAAACATCATACAAATATGTAATAATATGATATGATATAATATAACATACTATAATGTAATGTAATATCATATACTATAATATGATATAATATGTATATATGCACACATATACACATATATATATATATGGATATTGCACAACAGACGTTGCACCACATAGATTATCCTGTCTACAAGGAAAATATACTCGACCCAACCACACCACCTGGGATTATCGTCCCACCTATTCATATTGCAATTTACGTACGATTCTGCCCCATCGCCCATCCGAACTATGAACTCATACCATCCCAGCCCAACCCATATCGCCCCACCCCCTCCGCCATCCTCTCCAAAAGATACGTATGCGCGCACAGCCGTTTACCAGAAAACACAATTGCCCAGAATATGTTGCAAAATAATTAAACGGCATGCATTTGCGCGCGCCGTCGCGCGCGCATGCCGAAATCCTTCGAAAACCGCGGGTTTCGGAAAGATGACAAAATCGAATGTCCAAGCAACAAATAAACACACATGGTTTCGCAACACGGATTTACAACAAAAAAAAAAAAAAAAAAAAAAAAAACACACGAAAAATAAACTTGCGCGCGCTCTCGCGAATTCGGGAAAATGTTTTTTAACACGTTCCGAATATGCTACCACATGGGCTTCGCGCGCGCATGTCGACATCGTTCGGACGCCCTTGCGCGCGCGCCGTCGCGATAATTTTTTTTACAAAAACCGGAAAAAAGGGAAGGACCCAAAAAAAAAAAAAAAAAAAAAAAAAAAAAACGGGACGACGTGCAGACGCGCGCGTCGTTGCGCGCGCATGCCGGAAGTCTTCAAAAACCTATGATGTCGTAGCGACGTCAAACCATAATGTCCAGCCAAAACGAGTTCGCAACATCAGTAGACAAAAAAGCGTGCGTTCGCGCTCTTGCGAATTCTTCAGAAGACCATAGTTTAGCAACATGATCATGGAATGTTGCCAAACGGGACTCGGGCGCAGCATGCCGAAATCATTCGCAAGCCCTTGCGCGCGTGCTGGGGGGGGGGGCACGGTCCGTGTCAAATAAAATCACGCGGGCCACTGTCGCGCGTCGGCTGCGCGCGCATGTCGCACTCTTTCCAAAACCTTCATCACTGACGCGAGGACGCCGTCATCGTCGTTTGCGTGATCAGCATCGGCGCCCGCACTGGCCGCGCCTTCGTTGGTGTCAACACCGCCACCAGCTTCGCTACTATCATCATCATGTTTACTGTTGTCGACGTTGCCATGATACCGTGCCCGCCCAAGTCGCCGACTCGCAATGAAGTGTCCGCTGGAATGTGCCCAGCGGTCAGCGCCACCGCGGCCGCGTCGGTGGCGACAGACTAGCTGGACGCAGCGAGGGCGTGCTAGGGTTGGCGCGGCCGCGGAGAGGCAACAGCCAACGCCAAGCATGCATCGCAATCGTCGCCGCATGGGTTTTGCAAACCAAGTTGCGGGTGGGTGGGTGGGATGTTTGCAAGAGCGTGGGATGAGCCGATTCGATTGTTAAAATGATTCTCCTTTCTAAAAGAAGAATAGACTCTACCCCCACCCCCCGCCCCCAGGAGTTAATGAACCCCCCTGAGGTATTGCGATGTCATATCTATTCTACACACTCGTCCATCCAAAATATGGATTCAGACTATCCCAGCCAGACCGTTATCAATCCCTCCCGCCATCCTCTGGGAAAAAATCCTATGCGCGCACTCTCGTTTATCAAAAATCATGAGTTGTCAAGAATCCCTTGCAAAAAAAACTGGACGAAGCGCACACGTCGCGCGCGCATGCCGAAATCCTTCAAGAACCTTCGGTTTCGGAAGGTTTTGAAAAACAAGCTTCCACAACAAAAAAAACATGGTTTCGCAGCACTGGTTTCCTAAAAGGGTTTACGCGCGCGCTTTTGCGAAATCTTGTGTTGCTTGTAATCACGGTTTTTACATGTTTGAAATACCGAACGGGCTTCGCGCGCGCATGTCAAACTCTTTCGAACACCCTTAAACTCTTTCGAACACCCTTGCGCGCGTACCGTCGCGAGAATCCTTTGCAAAAAACAAAACAAAGTGCAGACGCGCGCGTCGTCGCGCGCGCATGCCGAAAATCTTCAAAAACCTTCGGTTTCGGCAGGGGGTCAAAATCGTGTGCCCAAAGAACATACAAAAACACAAGGTTTCGCAACACGGATTCTCAGCAGAAGCGTGCGCGCGCGCTCTTGCGTCGTCGTCGTCGTCGTCGTCGTCGCCGTCCTCCCTCCTCCCTCGTCGTCGTCGTCGCCGTCGTCGTCCTCTGTCTGTCCTCGTCGTCGTCGTCTTGGCGTCGTCGTCGTTTCCTCCATCGTTGTCGCCGTGGTCGTCCTTCATCCCTCGTCGTCTTCGTCGGCGTTTCGTCGTTGCCCCTCCTATTTCGTCGCCGTCGTCGTCGTCGTCGTCTTCCCTCCTCCCTCGTCGTCGTCGTCTTCGTTGGCGACGTCGTCGTCGTCGTCGCCGTCGGCGTCGTCGTCGTCGGCGGCGTCGTCGTCGGCGTCGGCGCTGTCATCGTCGTCGTCGTCAGCGTCGGCGTCGTTGTCGTCGTCGTCGGTGTTGTCGTCGTCGTCGTTGAAGTCGTTGGAGACGTCGTCGGTGTCGTCGTAGTCGTTGTCGGCGGCGTCGTCGTCGTCGTTGTCGCTGTCGTCGTCGGCGTCGGTGTCGTTGCCAAGTGCCATTTGGTACCCACCGTCACGGTCTTAAGAGGTCTTGCGACCAAGTTGCGGGTGGGAGGGTGGGATGTTTGCACGAGCAGTGGAGAGGACAGCTTCAAGTTGAGCAAGTGATTGATTGATTGCTCCACCTAGATTGCACAAGTGAGCGTTTTCTTATTCGGCGTTTCGACATTGGACGGAAGGAGTGGGGGAGGGGGGGGGCTGGCTCCGGACCTCTGCTTAATACCACTGTTTGCAGCAGTGCGTCCTATTGGGGAGACCCCACCTGCCCGAAACAGTTAAACAGGCGCCAAAAACAGCCAAGATCTACTCCAGATGGGGGGGAGGGGGGGGTGCGAGGGCCCGCGCCGATCGGCAAAACGACGAATAAGAAAACGATCACCAACATATACTGCTAGAAAAACACTGTTGGGGGTCCACGCTGGCTACAAGTTCTTCCTCGAGGACCGATATCGAAGTCACCACTGGAGCCCTGGGCCCCATCTTTTTGCGTATTTTTTGAGCTGGATCGATCGGTGAGGGTCGCCGGGCCCGAAGCGGGGCCAAAACGCCCGTGGTGAAATAAAAGCAACGCCAAGATCTCAAGGAATGTCAAAGTCGAATCGGATCGGCCAGGCCGGATTCGACATCAAATCGGATCGGTCGCATCGAAGTGGGCCCAGCGATCAAAGCGGACATAATGCATCTACATCACATGGCGCTCTTGGGCGCTATTGGTCACTTTTGGGTGCGAGTGGGCGCTGTTTGAGCGCTCTTCGACGCTGCTGGGGGCTGTTGGGCGCTGTTGGGCGTTATTGGGCGCTATTTTGGCGCTATTCGCCGATACACATTCGAACCAAGACGAGCGGAAACTTCTGAGCTTTACTGTCTGAGGAAGTGGGCCCCGCCAGGGCGGCGGGCGGGAGGCGGGCCCAGGGGCACAACGGAGGCGCACCCGGCCTCCAGGGCGCAGCCGTGCGTGAGCAGCAGCCGGATGATCCCGGTCTGCGCGAGCTTGGGCGACTTCCTCGCGCCCGGCTGGCGAGAAGCAGGGGAACGAAGAATGACAGAAGCATAAACACGGGGTCCAGCGCCGATGCGAGGAATCCGCGCGGACCTCCGAGTTTTCATGTTAATGTCATCTATCGAAGGAGGGAGGGACCCTGAGATCCCAAGCATCCTCGCGTTCTGGAAACATCCGGGCGGCAAGCCTTCTGCTGTTCTCCGGCCTCCGGCGCCCCCTACGCCCTGCCCTCTGGGACCGTCGACACAAAAAAATGAAATCATATATAAATTCACAAAAACAAAAACAAAAAAAAAAAAAAAAAAAAAAACTGGGGAGGGGAAGCCAGGACGAGGATACAGTCAGCTGAGGATAAATCGAGAATCTCTGCGATCCCGCAGCTTTGGAAAATGTCTCGGGGGGTCGGAGATCGAAGGCTCGAAATTGTCTGGCGCTTGCCAGCTCTTCCGACCTCCAGCTCCTCCAGCCTCCAGCTCTTGATCGGTCCTCGCCGCTCTTCCAGCCTCAGGTCCGTTCCAGCGGCTGCGCCTCGCCGAGAGCGCTCTGGGAGTGCCAGGATCGTCCCGAGCGCCCACGGGAGAGCCGAGTCATGACCCAAAAACCTCAAGGGTTTGGCCGAGCCTGAGATCCTGGCGTCGCAATTTTCCACACGGGGCGATTCTGCATTGTTTCGGGCCCTGCGACCATCACAGATCGAAAAATGCCGCAGCAAGATGGGGTCTATTGCTCCAGTCGCATGTTTGTCTAGATGCTGTATGTTTTCACAGCGGCGGATCTCAGGGGAGGTACGCGGGAGGAGGAGGAGGAGGAGGTGGAGGAGGAACATTTTGGATCGTTTCGGCCATGCCCGTGGGGCTGAGCTACACCCAACGACACGAAACACACCCCGAGTCATGAATCGAACCCCTGACCTGACATGCGTCCGCACCGATACAGGCTCCACTCGTCCACCCGACGGGCCCCTGGCAGCGGGCGGCTGTCACGCCGCAATGAGGGGCAAGAGCAGGGGGGGGACCAGCTCAGAGGGGGGGAGGAACATCGACCTGAAATCGGCGATACATCGCCGATTTCAGGTCGATGTATCGCCGATCTCAAGCCGACAGATCGGCGACAGGCTGCCGATAGCGACTCCGCGCGGTCCTGGCGGGGCGGGGTGGGGGCCGTCGGGCCCCGCGTCGGCGATGAGCACATGATCGGGGCTCGACTCACCCCCCCCGGATCGGGGCCTTGGCAGAACGCGGTCCAGGTGGGACCTGGTTCGGTAGTGTGCACCATGTGCTGGCGGCGCGCACAAAGGGGTGGGGGGTGGGGGAGGGGCTTCTAAGAAGCAGGGGTGCTCCTTAGAAGGCGCCGGCCTTACATCTATAGATAAGGCCCGCGCCTTCTAAGAAGCAGGGGCGCCTCTAAGAAGCCCTCCCCCCTCCCCCCACCCCCCTCTGCGCGTGGCTGAATGTGGCCCGCCCGCGAGGGCGGCGGCGCGGGGCGGCGCCACGGGCCTTTGGGGGGGCGACGGCCTCGCCCGCGGCGTGCCGCCCCCGGGCGCGGCCAGCGCGGGGCCTCGCCCCGCCGGCCGCACGAAGCGGGCCGCGGCGCCTCGACCGCGTGGCGGCGTGGTGCAGCGCCGTCTTGTTGGTGTTGTCCACCGAGTTCACCTCGATCAACTGCGGGCCGCGGGGACCACCCCACTCCCCCCTCCCCCTCCCCCCCTCCCCCCTCCCCCCCTCCCCCCTCCTCCCTCCTCCGCCACCGAGTTCACCTCGATCAACTGCGGGCCGCGGGGACCTCCTCCCTCCCCCCTCCCCCCTCCTCGTGCGACCAAGACCGCCCACGTGCGGCCGTCCGCCGCGAAGGGAGGACGCGGTGGCGCCTCGCGCGCGGCAGGGGGAGCGACGGCCCCGCCCGCCCACGGAACTGACGAGAAGGACCGAGGGTGGCCGTTTCCGATGCGGGCACGGAGGAGGAGAAGGAGGGGGAGCAGGGAGGCGGGAGGAGGAGGAGGAGGAGGAGGAGGAGGAGGCGGACCTCCTCCCTCCTCCCTCCTCCCTCCTCCCCCTCCGCCGAGTTCACCTCGATCAACTACGGGCCGCGGGGAGGGTTCTCTCGAAGAAGAAAAGCCGTCATAAACAGAAACTGTTGGCGCTCTGCGCGGATGTCTTGGATCCGCGCTGGAACCCCCTGGCGGCGCCTCCAGCGCCGACCCTGGCGCGCTCCGCGCGCCGGGGAGGAGGGTCCAGGTCAGATCCAAGATATCCGCGCGCAGCGCCAAAAGTGTATGCGTATGCCGTTGTTTCTTCCTCCAACTCTGCAGCAAGTCGTGGGAGCCTCCCATACCACCCTGCCGGCTCCTGCGAGTCTACGCTGGCCGATGCTGAATCGAATCGGCGCCCATCGAGGCGAACTCAGTCCTTTCTCATCGATCTGCAGACGCCAGCGTGACGCTAGTGCATTCCGAAGACAGGGCTACGAGGGCATCATGCCATAGCAGGTTCCCATGATTTGCCACCGAAGGAGCGGCCTTGGAGGAAAAAAACAAAAACAAAAACAAAAAAGGTTTATATAAATATATATATATATAAAGAAAAGAGAAGAAACACAAAAAAAAGAAGAAGAAAAAAAAAAAAAAAAAAAAAAAAAAAAAAAAAAAAAAAAAAAAAAAAAAAAAAAACTCGGAAGTCCGCGCAGATGCGCTGGACCCCCCGGGGCGGCGCCAGAGGCGCCGCCGCCGAGCGGGCCAGCACGGATCCGAGAAGGGCGCGCGGAGCTCCGCAGGCCTCTGCTTCTGCAGTGTCCTTCTTCGCCGCCTGGCATGCCGGGGCAACCCCAGACCTCCAGCGCCTCGAGGAAGCTCATTCCGAACACTGTGGCAATGTTCGGCCTCCGGGAGCCCTCGCCAGGCCCCAGGACCGTCAGGAAACGACTCGGGATGAAGAGCCGGCCCTGGGGGAAACCCCGGACCTCCAGCGTCTCGAGAAGCTCGTTCCGAGCACTGTGGCAATTTTCGGCCTCTGGGAGCCCTCGCCAGGCCCCAGGACCGTCGGGAAACGACTCGGGATGAAGAGCCGGCCCTGGGGGACGAGGTCCAGACCTCTGGGGATCCAGCCTTGAGAAACTCAAAACAACCGACGCTGCGATTTTTTCACAACGTCGACCCCCAGAGGCCTCGACCCTTTCGCCGGGACCGGTTTTTCATCCTGGATCGTTTTTCGAGGCTCCCGAGGCCTGTCGGGAAGTACGGAAGAGGGTTCTGGGCCACTGTCGAGGCCCCTCGTTTGGACAAAAAGTACGACAAAGCGTTCTGGGCCACTTTCGACCTCTCTGGGCCCCAAACGGGCCCCCGGGACCGGTCAAGAACGACCCGGAATGAAACACAGGTCCTGGCAAAGGGGTCCAGACCTCTGGGGGTCGACGCTGGAGGCAGTGTGTTTTTAGAGTCTGGCAAGCTGACTTGCATGGAGGGGGAGGAGGGGGAGGAGGGCGTGGTGAGGCCCGAAAGGGAATCTGGACTTCACGCACACGCCTTTCTGGCCCAGCGCTGTTGAAAAAAGGCGGCGGGGGGCGGGGGGACGCGATGCAAGTAAACTCGGCTGAGTGTCAAGAGAACGACCCGGGAAAAACAAAAAAAAGTGGCTTCAAAATAACACCAAAAACAAGCAAGCAAACAAACAAAAGCAACAACAGCAACAACAACAACCACAACCACAACCACAACCACCACCACAACCACAACAGCAACAACAACAACAACAACAACAACAACAACAACAACAACAACAACAACAACAACAACAACAACAGCAACAGCAACAATAACAACAGCAACAGCAACAGCAACATCAACCCCAAGGCCAACAACAACAATATCAACTACTACTACTACTACTACTACTACTACTACAGCAACAACAACAACAACAGCATCAACAACAACAGCAGCAACAACAACAACAACATCAAGGCCAACAACAACAACAGCAACAGCAACAACAACAACAGCAACAGCTACAACAACAACAACCAGACCAACAACAACTACAACAACAACTACTACAACAACAACAAAAACAACAACAACAACAACAACAACAACAACAACAACAACAACAACAACAACAACGACAACAACAACAAAACGTCATCTGGGGGCGCTGCCGGAGCGGGGGGACCGCTGGTCCTGGGCGGCCCCGAGGCGGCCGGGCACCTCCCGGCGGGGCCCCGCCAAGGGCACTCGGCGCCCGAGGGCGGCAGCTCCCCAGACCGTGAGCGGTATATATATATATATATATATATATATATATGTATATATATATATATATAGACGGTGGTCGGAAGAAGCAGGCAAAAAACTTGTGCGTCGGCGGCTGGGCAGAGGGTGCCTGCGCCGGTGCGCCGGCGATGGGGGCTGAAACGGGGATGCCGTTAGAGCGAAGTGTGCCACCATGCAAGAGGGGGCAAGGAGAGGACGCGGCCCAAGGGGTCAGAACGCTCCCCGAGCGTGTGCAGTACGTAATAGCATGAAGTAGGAAGGCCGATAAAGTATTTGTTTTCAATCCTCAGATGCCTGTTGAGAGTTAGGCGTGCTGTCGAGGCGAATGGCAGCTGGGATGCGGACACTCTGGCCCATCCCACTCCTGACGGCCGCTGACTACCGTGTCGCTGCCGCCCCACGGGTTCGAGCCACAGTGCAGGGCAGAACAGAAACCGACCCATTTCGTCTGAAATGGGTCGGTTCTCTGGCGGGCAAGACATCCGTCCGACCGTCCTCAAGTAGATTGGGTCCAGGGCCTCCCACAGAATCACAACACACAGAAAAAGCACATCGATTCTTGAGGTGGGAAGGCACTAGAAGTGGAGTGGCATCTGGGAATCCAACAGTACCTACTTTCAACGACTGACGAGTATAGAAGTTTCGGTCGCGGCATTGTCCCTTCACTTCGGCCTCTGGTGGGACGCACACGGACCAGCTGACACTCGTGTGTCCTCCTCGGAGGCGTGCGTACGACCCGGACGTGTAGCACAAAATCTGATAGTGTATATCACTTCCCGAGCGGAATGGCCAGAAAACGCCCGCCACGAAGAATGTACTCTGAATTGTCTGAGCGCGCGCGTCGCACTTTTGGAGGCGACGCACACATAACAATAAGTAGGAAGTTTGGGCGGCGCCGAATCAAAAAAGGATCCAGGACGCAAGCCTCAGCACCCCTGGGGAACGGGTCGGAAGCTCTGGGGCCGCGGATTGAAAAGACCTGACCCGAGGCTGTCTGGGTCTACTCGGGGGAGCGGGGACAGCAAAGGGAGGGGATTAACGAATCAGCTTACGTAGCTGGTTGTTCCAGCGCCTTCCAGCGCCAAAGGCGCCCATGCATCGAGGAAGTGCACAGCCGCGGGGCCGAATCCGGCCGCACGCAGCAGATTTCCCTCCCCCCCTTCCCCGTCCATCCCCCCCACACTCGTCCGACTCGAGTTGCGCCTCCACACCGATCCAAGCGAGGCCGATCCAGAGCCCAGGATCGGTGCTCGTGCACCCCTGGCCAGGCTAGGACGGCGCACACACCGACCCACCCGATATTCGCCCACACCGGTCGTGGCCAGGCTGATCCAGGGCCCCCCAGGATCGATGCTCGTGCCCGCCTGGCCCCGCTGGGAGGGCGCATTGGCGGCGCGCACAACAAGGGGGCAGGGGGAGGGGGGAAGGCTTCTTAGAAGAAGGCTGCTTCTCAGAAGGCGCTGGCCCCGCGTCTACAGACGAGGCCCACCCCTTCTGAGAAGCAGGGGCGCCTTCTAATAAGCCTTCCCCCCCTCCCCCCCGCCCCCCTCTGCGCGTGGCCGAGCGCAAACACCTATCCTTGACCAGGGACCAACCGTCCCAGCATTCCTTCAGGCCTACCACGACATGTTCTTAAAACCCAAAAGTGCTCTAAAAACAAAAGCAATGTTCTTAAAACATAAGCCCGACGTGTTAAAACAAGACTGTCTCGGCAAGAAATATTCCAATCATATTTCGTGCAGACCACATAAGGTGTTATAACATTCTTTGGTGTGCCTATAGTTAAGTCGGGCCTGTCCCTCTACAGGGAGAGTATTCAAAAATAGTCAAAGAAAATAGTATGGAGACGATTATTTCACTACTTTTGCCCCGCTGGGGGGTATTGTTTGCGTATTTGTTATGTTTCGCCCCAGAATCCCCCCATAGGGGGACACGCCCGACCTAAGCCTTTGGGCGTGCCAGGACGCTGCGCCACTGCTTGCTATCCCAGTCGGGGATGGACAGAACCCCCTTTAGTAAAACGTGGTTTAGTGAAAACGACCTCGGGCCCAAACATGGCAGGCGCAAGCCTGGAAAATGACGGCCGCGGCGCCCTCTCGAGAACCGAAAACGGACAATTCACTAATCGACGTGTCAGAGTATGAGGTCTGTCCACCCCCGACCCAGGCCCGAGGCGGGCCTGGCACGTCTGCCGGCCCCCCGCGGCCGGCGACGGCGCATGCCGGCGCGCGCGCGGGCGGGCGCGGGCGCGGCAGGCCCGCGCCTTCTTGTGGCTGAGCAGATACTCGACGACCTCACGGTGCGAGGAGGAGGAGGAGGAGGAGAAGGAGGAGGAGGAGGAGGAGGAGGAGGAGGAGGGGGGAGAGGAGGAGGGAGGAGGAGGAGGAGCGAAGCTTGGGCATCCCAAAACCGTGCGGTGACAGACCGGGCGTTGGCCTCGGCACCCCAAGAGCCCTCACCGCACGGTCCGTCACCGCACGGTCGTGGGACCCTGGAGGCCCCTGTCGCCCAAGACATCCTCGGAGAGGGACTCGAGTCCCAAAACCGTGCGGTGACCCCGAATCCCCACCGACTCACCACACGGTGTGGTCACCACACCGTCTGGGGGCCTCCGACAGACGACAGGGGGCGGGAGGGAGCCCGGGATGTGAGCGAGGGCACGGGGCGACTGGCGACCGGCGACGAGCCTCGTGGGCGGGCAGCATATCCATGTCCACGGCCTCGCGGTGCGGACCCATCGGCTGCGGCCCCTGAGGAGGAGGAGGAAGAGGAGGAGGAGGATGCAGGGCGGCTCTGCGCGGAGCGTACCCATGGGATCGCGTCTTGATGGAGTCGCGCCTCGGTGACCAGACCGCGAGGGCACGGATCTGGATTTGCTCGTGGCTTGTGAATCCACCACGCCTGCCTGTCGAACTCGCAGCTGCGGAAGGCTCAAGCGGCCGTCCTTGAATGGGGGAAGAGCGCAGACGATACACATGCACCGCTTCTGGCCACGCCCATCCTGGGCCCAGGATCGGTGAGTACCCCCCCGTGGCTTGGCCAGGAGGACGTATGCATCAATCCTGGGCCCAGGATGTGCATGACCCAGACCAGTGTTGGTGTGTTTGACGTCCCCCGATGGGAGGTCTCGCATACGCCTGTGGGTACAAGCTCCGACCAGAGCTTCGCTTGAGCTAGACGCCTCCATTATATCAGCACGCGGCTCTTTCGTCACGACATGATATCCTCCTCGTCCTGCGCATCCTCCTACTCCTCCTCCTCCTCCTCCTCCTCCTCCTCCTCCTCCTCCTCCTCCGCCCCTCCTCCTCCTCCTCCTCCTCCTCCTCCTCCTCCTCCTCCTCCTCCTCCTCCTCCTCCTCCTCCTCCTCCTCCTCCTCCTCCTCCTCCCTCCTCCTCCTCCCTCCTCCTCCTCCTTCCTCCTCCTACCTCCTCCTCCTCCTCTCCTCCTCCTCCTCCTTCCTCCTCCTCCTCCTCCTTCTCCCTCCTCCTCCTCCGCTCTTTTTCTCTTCTCGTTCCTCTTCCTCTTCCTCTCTTCTCTCCTCTTCCCTCCTCCGTCCTCCTTCCTCCTCTCCTCCTGCCTCCTCCTCCTCCTCCTCGTCGCTCTCCTCCTCCTCCTCCTCCTCCTCCTCCTCCTCCCTCCTCCTCCTCCTCCTCCTCCTCCCTCCTCCTCCCCCTTTTCCTCCTGCTCCTCCCGCTCTTCTTCGATCCACACCACCTCTACATCCTCCTCCACCTCCTCCTCCTCCTCCTCCTCCTCCTCCTCCTCCTCATCATCATCATCATCATCATCATCATCATCATCATCATCATCATCATCATCATCATCACCATCACCATCATCATCACCATCATCATCATCATCATCACCACCACCACCATCATCATCATCATCCAAC